CCCCCCCCCCCCACCCCACCCCCGAACAATCCTACTCCTATCTCATTACCCTACTTTTCTTCAACTCTCCTCTTGATATTCCCATTTTTCTGAAAAACCGTTTTGCGCTATCAGCATACAGAATCATTAGACTTGTGGAGGAATAGTCAAATATGGTGGCTTTACCATAGGGGTTAATGCTAAATCATGGTTGTCAAATGCAACTTTCCCCTTTTCCACTTTTTGAATATCATGCAGCTGCCATATAAACACTAAGCTTAATTTTTCGGTTTTTGGTACCCCCAGACCCTTACCAAGTACACTTACCTAGGTGAAATCTTAGCTCAACTCCAAACAGAGCCATTACTTCTGACCTCGAAAACTCGCATACATTCCATCTTTGCAGTTCTCCATTTCTGGAGCATCTAATTAAGCTAATGCAACTATTAAACCTTCCCAGTAGGAAACGTTCGCAGAGTCTAACACACTACTACCACATCATTTACTGACTTGGGCGGTAGATTACTAACACCACTGGGCTTTGACCTCATGACACCTGGCTTGGCAATCGTGCATCCCTCCATCAACGTACAATAACAGTATCAAGCCATTTTATTCCCATATTCTATGTAGCCTAAGCGTCCAAAAGCCCCGATTAGGAAAGAGCCAGGAACTAAAGGCAAAAACAAATAGAAAAACAAAGAGGTAAATCTAGCAACCATTATCAATATTATGCTCATTGTTTTTAACATTATTTTCGTCATCACTGGAATTTTCCGCCTCCTCACTATCTTCTTCTGACTCAGCAGTGTTCAACCAGGTAAGAAAATCACCGAGTTGTTCTCTCAGTTTTTCAGCTTCCTGAATGCTTTCTGGATCTTCCAGCATCTTGGAATTCTTCACCCAATTATTTATCGCCTCCTCAGAAACGATATCCTCGATGTAGAGTACATGAAAGAGTCGAGGGGATATTTCCATGAACCGCTTATCCAGACAACAATTCTCTTCCGTTGCTTGCAGGCACAACGCCTCTCCATTAGCACTCCTCTCGACAAAATTCCTCATTATGAGTTTGTAAAGCCCAATACACTGTTCAACATTCTTCCAAACCTTGGCAGTGGTAAGAACTCCACTTTCCGATTCAGAACCTAAGTTAAGTATGGCTTTCGTGAGAAGGAAGATTAGATCATCAATGGTGATTCCGGTGGCGTGTTTCAGACAGGTGATTTCCGTACATATGTCCTTGAGAGGTTTTTTCTTGTCCATTCCATCTTTGAGGGTGTTTGCGAGCTCGCTAATGATGTTATCATCATCATCGTTTTCAGGAACCGTTATCTTTTCCTTCCTGTTGGAGGATAGACTGATAGATTCAGAGGAAGAAGAAAGTGATCGGGTCATTCTTCTCAACCAATTAGTTCGCCACAAATTGCCAGATTTGAGAAGGAAAATGTTCTTCCTTTCTGAACTCCCAGGTTCCTCCTCTCCAGAGGAATCAAAGCTTCCCTAAAAAACAGCATAAACAATTTAGGAGGGCATTTTCTAACATTAATTTTTTTTGGAATGGTAGTGATAGGCTCGAACTCTGCGCCTTCTTTTATCAATCAGATTTAACAAGTAAGTTTGACCATTCAGCAAACCTATGGGTATCAACCGATTCAGTTCCAGATATATACATCTTCTTAATAAGTCAGAAGTAGTTCTGAAATAGTGAACGGAAGAGTTCAGAACCTAACACAATGCTTTTTAAACTAAACTCAAACGGCAGAATGCAGCCGTGCTTTGCAAAACATACAAACTTCCGTATTCGTGAAAGGTAATTAGCTCATCAAAAGTACATACTAATAAAGGAGTTGAACTTACGGTAGACATATTATCATCAATATCTTGGGGTTGACAAATCACCCAAGGATGTTCGCTATCCTCATCGGTAGATTGAATGATAACACATCCTTCCGGGAATTTCACACCCTCGACGCGTTCGATGCAAAGACGATTTTGATGTGGGCAGTTGGATATTTCGTATTTCAAAGGTGGCCCAACAAAGCAATCAGAACCCAATTCAACATCATCATGAATACAGGCGCCACTGAATAACCAAGAGGAGGTAATTTTGACATTTGAACCAATATGCACTCCTTTCATTACTACGGTCGATTGAATAACAGTATTCATGTCAATTGTGCAGTCATCATCAATAACGACATCGATTAGGGTGCACCCAGGTCTAATGGTGACATTACGACCGATGAAAACGTGACCCACGAGCTTAACAGATGAGTGAATGTTACAACTTTTGTAGGCAAAGCATTGAGGTGAGAGGGAATAGGGTTGTCCTCTTTCCACAACCCCATTCCGTATTGTCGATTCCCAAACATAGAAACTGGGAGGATGAATTTTCCTCGAGCCTATCCGGTTCAGGAAAGAGAAATTTAATTGGAGCAGATGCTTTAAGCAAGGGGCAACAGGTAGAACGATCGTTCTAGACGACAGAACTTGAATATGAGTTTGATAAGACATGACATCCTCATTTAAAATGAACTCATTTACAAGGTCATCAATTGTGAGAAAATCGAAGTTACCCTGAAATTGAATGGGAATATGTTTGCTGCAGAGAAGAATACGTGAATCAAAGAGATTACCGCGATACTTTAAGGAACTGCAGGCGATGGTAGAAATTAGTCTAGCTGGAGCAGGCGTACGCTTAAAATTAGCAAGAACACTCGTTTCAGTGTTGAAAGCGATCTGGGTATACTCATATTCCTGAGGGAGAAAATCAGGACGATTAGCGAATATCATGCCTATGGCAATATTGGGATTTTGTTTCCGAAGTTCAGAAAAGCTATTCAACTTCTTCATGAGCGAAATATCAGCCACTAGATCCGCGGGAATGCAAACAAAATTCTCTACTTCGTGAAGAAGAGAATTATTGTCAATATCACGCATTACTTCGCCAAGTGATTTGCAACCATAGCCATCAAAAACGCAAATATCAACGAAGGGAAAACGCGTGCGATAACCATTCTCTTTAACGAAACGCTCAATGGTATCCCTATGCAAACATGCAAAAATAATGATCTTCTGGAAGCCATCCAATAGAAGACTATTTAATGAAAGATGCAGAAGAGGAGTGTTGCCGAGTGAAAGTAGACAAGTAGGCATCCAATGTGAAATAGGCATAAATCTATCAGCATTCAACTCCGCAACAATCACTGCAGTACGAAGAGCTTCAAAATTTGTACCTCCACATGTAGGATTTTTACCTTTCTGTTTTTTAGGTGCCATAATCTATATAGATAGAGAAACTGATACTACAGAAAATATTTGCATTGAATAAATTTACAACACCTCAGCTTTTAGTGGAAAGTGAAACAAACTTACGAATTTTATGAAAAATTACCCTCAGATACCAGCCAAAAGTGCTGTAGTACGCGTATGATGCGCTTTTCAATTGACCTCCAGGGTATTTGATCTTATAAAACGAAAAGTATTTCCGCTAAAATGTGATTAGTTTTTATGAATAATTATTTACTCAATCAAATCAAATTATTTATTTTAAAAGCTACTTTTATATTTAATGAAAAATTTAATTCGTCTTACAAAAATTTTCAACCCTCTTTGATTATGAAAGATTTTACAGACACCTCCACATTACCTTAAAATACTCTTAAATTGCTTTTATCATCGATTTTACTTACTTTATTACATGTGAATACGTATATTGCATTCTAATGTTATTTTAAATGCGCTCCACATTTTTAAGTCAGACAAGATATGGTTACTTGTATTCTATAGGTACATTAAATACTAATGATATCAATAATCTTCAGCCCAAGCTTTCGACGCGCTTCCGCTGCTTAATTTGTACACCACTTTCACAATGGTTTTGGCAAACTTTTAGAGGACAGGCTTTTCGCAAGAAATTGCTTACTTCTTTGCAAATTCGAAGTAAATAAAGAAAATATGCATGCATGTACCCTTCCTAGCTTAAATCCCTTGGAACGCAAGCGAATTCGGAATATGGCTAAAATCCATCTTTTATTAACACCATTATTCAATAACAACGGCGGAAATACAATACTTATAAAATGGAAGGGTGCAATGAGCCTAGAAAAATAAGGTTAATGAGGCTCATGAGGTAAGAGAGCCCGTCGTGGATAGCAAATATGATTGATCGGCAATTGAAGCAAATTTGTGACGGTTGAGGTGTACATCGATGCATAGAGGCCCAATCTCTGAGCAAAGTAGGAGTGGTTGTGAAAAGAGCGAAACACACTACCAAACCGCGGATTGAAACACTCCTTTGATACCTGACGCAATTGGTCACGTTCCTTGCGCCAGGAACTAAGAATCGCTTGACCAACTGCTGTGCGACACGTCTAAAAGCAGACCGATAGAGAAACAAATTGAAGAAAATCAAATTAAAGTGATAGAATTAGCATTGAATATCGTAATTGCTCATTTTACCGGATTCTCCATTAAAAGTTCCTCCAAAAATATAAGACGATGAAGATTCTTCTGGTAGCTTTCTGTGTTGATTAATGCAAGTTCGTTTTCTAATTCTGGAATTACAGCAGCAGTGGCCCATCCCCATTGATTGGAGGCGTCCTTCAAGGTAATCAAGGATAATTACAAATAGCAAGTATTATGTCCTCAAGACATACCTTTTACTAAAACAACTTCAAGCAATCCCCAGAATAAATTGTGCACATAATAGCATAATTACATTTTGTATAGCCTCAAACGAAATCACTAAGACATGATTTAGGACACCAATTAATAAGATTAGCTAATATTCTACGCAATATAAATTGTAGCATCATTTTACATAGCGACCACTTTCTAAAGCTAGCAATGATATGCCCATGTACTCATGATGTGCTAGGCTATTAGTGAAGGCAAGTGCTTAGTTATATCTGTGATGATAAAACTTGACCAAAATGTAAGGAGATTTGGGGCTTCACGCCTTCCTCTTCGCTCGGCTGATAAGAAAATGCATCGTTGTTGGTTCAGATGACATGGAATCTAATGCCAAGGTTGGGAGACATACTCCCATGTGGCATTTCATCCACAATGGAAGAAGTGTAGAAGTAAAGGCTCATTTTCTGCCGAACTTAGGACTCCACTATTTTCGTTGAAGCACGGATCTCAGTACCCACACTGTGGGCACGTACTTAGGAGATGAAGCTGACCAAAAGTGAGTACTTCAGTATCACACAAGAGTCTAGTAAAGTCTGTCGATCAAAAGGTTCGATTGGATTCTAATATATATGGAATTTTGGCTTAGCAAGTGACTAAAAACATTCCGAAACACAACAGTAAGCGAAACTTCTCATGTCATGTACGAAGAGATGTTTCAACATACTACAGGCTTGAGTATAGCAGATGCCAATTAACAGTTGACGAATTAGAAATGGAAATGTATCAGTGAATCTCAACGGATAAACAAGACTGACGACTCGAGAAGAAGTGATTGTACATCTACTTAATATTTTGGTTAGCATTTCATGGCTAACTCTGAACTGTTCTAGAGAGGTGATTGGACTTAACCCTTCCATATAATCTCGGCATATATTATAATATTAGGTAATCAACTAACTTAAATATAACATTCAAGAAAATTCTGAAAATGAAATTGTGGAAACCAGAAAGAAATATAAATTCAGGTTACGTATAAAGCGCGCACACACACACACACACACACACACACACACACACACACACACACACACACACACAGTGGTTC